GCCCCGTCGCCCCAAGCCCGCACTCGGCCCCCCGTCGACCCCTAGCCCAGCGCTCGGCCCCGTCGAATGCGCTCACTTTGAACAGCACAGGACCGCACAGGCACTGTACGACGCTGTAGACGCTCGCTACTCCTCCCCTGCCATTGCTGCTCTAGGCCGCCTCCTTCTGCCCTACCTGTTCCCCGACCTGTCCTCCTTTGCCACAGTTGAGGACCTAGTTTCCCACCTTCGCGCTAGCGACGCTCGCTACCGTGCCGCCGTCCCTGCTGAGTTCCTTGACAAGAACCAGCTCCCGATGTTCATCACCCTCTACTTCATACTGACCCTCTCTCTTGACCCCACCTCCCTCACTGTTGACCTTCTCGAGCAGCATCTCCTTGCAGCTAAGACTAGTGCAGTTGCTGTAGGTGCTGCTCGTGGCACTCCGCGTCCGCCCTTCTTTGAGGGGTGCTCCCCCTCCCCCCTTGCCCCCTCCTACGCCTCTACTGCTGCTGTAGACGTCTCTGTTGCTGAGGACGTTGGGGCTGCTTCTGCTAGTGCGAAGCGCCGCAGCAGGAAGGGCAAGGGTGGCAAGGGTGGTGGAGGTGGCGGCGGTGGTGGTGGAGGTGGTAGCGGGAGTAGTGGTGGGGGCAGCAGTGGAGGTGGTGGCGGCGGTGGGACTGCTGGAGGGAGTGGGGTCTGTGGTGGCGGCAGTGGAAGCAGCGGTAGGAGTGGCGACAGTGGCGGCAGTGGGACTGGTGGAGGTGGGACTGGCGCTTGGCGTGGTGGTTCTGGAGGTTGCCAGCGTCAGCAGCAGCAGCGTCGGAGCGAGACCTCATCACGACAAGCTCTCCCCCCGTGATATCCCGTGCGTCTTCCTTGGCTTTGTCCCTGACGCGCCTGGCTGGCAGTTTTACCACCCCACCTCATGCCGTGTCTTCCCTTCTCAGGACGTCACTTTTGACGAGTCGGTTCCCATTTACCGTCTCTTCCCCTACCGCTCTGCCCCTCCCCCGCCCCCGCTGCACTTCCTTGCTCCCGGTCCCACTCCAGTTGACCCCCTCCCGCCCCTGGGTCGTGCTCCCTCAGGTGTGTCTCAGGTAGACCCTCTCCCTGGTGCTGCACCTGTTCAGGTAGCTGTCGGCTCAGGTGCTGCTCGAGGTGCTGCGTCTGGGGGTGCGGAGCCTGGGGGTGCGGAGTCTGAGGGTGCTGAGTCTGGGGGTATTGAGCCTGGGGTTGTTGAGACTGGGGGTGCTGAGCCTGGGGTTGTTGAGACTGGGGGTGCTGAGCCTGAGGGTGTTGAGCCTGGGGGTGCTACGACGGAGGGTGCGGAGTCTGGAGGTGCTGAGCCTGAGGGTGCTGCTTCGTCTGGAGGGTCTGCTGGTGCTTTGCCGAGACTGTCTCCGCAGCACCTGCGTGAGTGGTTTGTTCGGCGCGCACGCCTTCGGAGTGGAGCTACCGGAGCTGGAGGTGCTGGAGCTGCTGGAGCTGGAGGTGCTGGAGTTGCTGCAGGAGCTGGTGTTACTGGAGGTACTACGGCCACTGGTCCTGGAGGTGCTCGTACCCGGGGTACAAGAGCTGCCGCGACTGGTGGTGTTGATTGTGCTGGAGCTAGAGACCCTACGGAGTCTGGAGCTATTGGTACTGGCGGCTCTGGCACTGGTGGTGCTGGAGCTGGAGGAGCTGGAGTTGGAGGCACTGGCACTAGAGGCGCTGGAGTTGGAGGCCCTAGTGTTGGAGGTGCTGGAGCTGGAGGAGCTGGAGTTGTTGACCCTGGTGTCTTCTACTGACCTTACTCCTCCCCTCTTGTGTCCCCCGCCGTTACAGCCGGCCTCTCCACTGCCTGCTCCTTCTCGTTACACTGAGCACTCCGGCGGTCTTACAGACCGTCGTGAGCCTAGGTCTCGTCCTGTCTCGCCTGTTCGCACTGCTTGTCGTGTTCCTCGTTCTCGTCTTCCTCCTGTCCCCGGCACGCACGCTATGACCCTTCCTCCTTCCTCTGTTCCCCTAAGTGTTCCTCTTTTTGCTCCTCCTGAGTCCTCTCTTCCTTAGGTCCCTGACCCTGAGTCTGACCGTGCTCGTGCTACCAGTCCGAGTGCCTCTCGTCTCCTCCCCACTGCTGTCAGAGACCCTTCTTTTGAGTCTACTGCTGCGTCTGCTCTCGTTGCTGAGCTGCTTGACTTTGCTGTTGCCTGCCGTCTAGACTACACCACTGCTCTCGTTGCTGATTCTGCTTCTGCCAGTCCTCCGTCCGTCGGGGGTGAGTGTGCTTTTGGCACGGACGTCCTTGAGGAAAGGCAGGAGGACTTTGAGTGTCTTGCAGCTGCTGTACCTCGTTTTGCTTCCATGCTGCTTGCCCCTGAGGGAGACCCAGATGCTCCAGACATCCCGACCCCGCGCTCTTACACAGAGGCGATTACAGGTCCTTACTCCTCTCAGTGGCAGGCAACCATGGATGCCGAGATGGCATCCTGGAAGTCCACAGGCACCTACGTTGACGAGGTTCCCCCACCTGGGGCGAACATAGTTGATGGCATGTGGATCTTCAGGGTGAAGCGGCCGCCGGGTTCTCCGCCTGCCTTCAAGGTGCGTTACGTTGCTAGAGGCTTCACTCAGCGATAGGGAGTTTACTACTTCTAGACCTTCTCCCCCACCCCGAAGATGACTACACTTCGGGTGTTGCTGCACGTCGCTGCTCAGTGTGACTACGAGTTGCACTCTCTATAATTCAGCACAACTCTCCTGCAGGGCAGCCTGCACGAGGAGATCTGGCTGCGCCGCCCACCTGGCTTCAATGAGTCTTTTCCTGCAGGTACTTAGTGGAGTCTTCGGCGGCCAGTCTACGGTCTCCACCAGGCGCCTCGCAAGTGGCACGACACACTGAGGACTACACTTGCGGCTCTTGTGTTTGCGTCTGCTGACCTGTCGATGTTTCTACACACCGACACCTCGCTGCCGCCGTTCTACGTCCTCGTCTACGTCGACGACCTCGTCTTTGCCACTGCTGACACTGAGGCACTGACCCTTGTGAAGTCGGTGTTGCAGAAGAGAAACACCTGCACTGACCTGGGTGAACTGCGCAGCTATCTTGGCTTGCAGATCACCCGGGATAGAGCTCGGCACACCATTACCCTGACTGAGTCACACATGGTGCACCAGGTTCTTCAGCACTTCGGCTTCCATTTCTCCTCGCCACAGCCCACTCCTCTGTCTACCAGCCTCTCGCTCTCAGCTCCACCTTCGGACGAGTCCGTAGAGCCGAAAGGTCCGTACCCAGAGCTTGTGGGTTGCCTCATGTACCTGATGACCTGCACTCAACCTGACCTCGCGTACCCTGTCAGCCTCCTGGCTTGCTACGTGGCTCCCGGCAGGCACCGAATGGTGCACTGGGATGCTGCAAAGAGGGTACTGCACCGGGGCTCGTGCTTGTGCAGTACGTTGGGAATGGGGCTCGTGCTTCGAGGACAGGGTCCAGTTGTCTTCACCGGTCACGCAGACGCTTCTTGGGTTGATGACTCAGCTACGCAGCGGTCGTCACAGGGTTACACCTTCAGCCTTGGCTCTGGCTCTGTTTCCTGGCGGTCTACCCGCTTGTCTTCGGTTCTCAACTCCAGCTGTGAGGCTGAGATCTACGCCGGGGCCATGGCTGCTCAGGAGCTACGCTGGCTCACCTACCTGCTGACCGACTTGGGAGAGCAGCCTCATTCGCCTCCAGTTCTGTACGTAGACAACAAGGCCATGGTTGCCTTATGTCATGAGCACAGGTTGGAGCACAGAACGAAGCACATCGCTCTGCGATACTTCCTTGCTCGAGAGTTGCAGCAGCGTGGCCAGCTTCGTCTTGCGTACGTGGCCACTAGGGCCAACACTGCTGATATATTCACCAAGGCACTTCCACCTGGTGATCATCAGCGCTTCTCTACTGTGGTAGGCCTTGTGCCTACTTTACCTCACTTGCTTACTGCTTGACTTGCTTGTAGTGTGATCTTTACATATACCTGCATGCTTGCACTTGCTAGGATATGATCACTGTATTGTTTGTTCTCTTTATATGACACTGCATGTGAACTAGTCTTTTGGCCCTTTGCTTGTGCTGTGTGGTGACTTTGTGATCCACCCTGAGCTTGCTTTGCTTTCTTGACTGGTCTTGTGACCACTTGTTCTCCCCCACTTTGCCTATGGGGGTGTGTCAGAATATTATAGTCATTACATTTGTATAGGCTTTAGTGGGGTAGCCCATAAGGGGTATAACCCAATTAGGGTTAGTACTTGTACCCAACTCGTTGCTAGTTCATTCATCCTCGTTCATTCTCTTGACAGAATGGTCCTCACAGAGGCGCTCGCGGAGCCCGAGACGGATTGCGCGAATCCAAGTGATCAAGACATCAGGGACCTCACCCTTGGTGCGCAAGGGGAAGACCGCGGTGTAACGCATGTAGTCATCAACAACCAGCAGGAAGTAGCGCTCGCGGCCTTGTCCACTGATGCGGGCTGGGCCCCACACGTCCATGTGGAGAGTCTGCAAGGGAAGCAGTCGTCGGATGAAACGAGGAGTGAGGAGCAGTGCGATGCCGCCCCTTGACGCAAGGAAGGCAGGGCGGGGCAGGCGAGGGCGGTAGGGGAGGCAGAGACCTGGGAAGACCAGAAACAAGGAGGCGGGAGTGCATGCCACGAAGGCGTGGCAGGGAGGGGTGATGAAGGCGGTGGTGCCACAGGAGAGTCTGGTGCGATAGGAGGCGACACGAGCAGAGGGCTGCTACCAGACCTGACGCGGACACCTGAGCAGACGCAGCTACCTGAGGAGGCTCAGCAGTCAGTGTGTACAGACTCGACTCAGGCCGACGGGTGAACGTGGCCAGGTGACGGCTTGTCCGTGTATACGTGCAGATCGACACACGCTGACCGTGTAGTGACCATTGCATCTTGGAGGGCAGCGGTACTCACCAAGTTCGTAGAGAACAAGGGGAGGTGAAGACTTGAGAGTGATCCGGACGGAACCGCCGGACAGGGGAGAACAGTGGATGAACGGAATATGGCAAGAACCGCCAGCTGACGCGTTGCCTCTTTCCGCTGCTCCGCATCCACCACCAGCTGACGCACTGCCTCCTCCCGCTGCTCCGCATGCACCACCAGCTGACCCACTGCCTCCTCCCGTTGCTCCGCATGCACCACCAGCTGACGCGTTGCCTCTTTCCGCTGCTCCGCATCCACCACCAGCTGACGCACTGCCTCCTCCCGCTGCTCCGCATGCACCACCAGCTGACCCACTGCCTCCTCCCGTTGCTCCGCATGCACCACCAGCTGACGCGTTGCCTCTTTCCGCTGCTCCGCATGCACCACCAGCTGACGCACTACCTCTTTTCGCTGCTCCGCATGCACCACCAGCTGACGCACTGCCTCTTTCCGCTGCTCCGCATGCACCACCAGCTGACGCACTGCCTCTTTTCGCTGCTACGCATGCACCACCAGCTGACGCACAGCCTCTTTCTGCTGCTCTGCATCCACCACTAGCTGACGCACTGCTTCCTTTCGCTGCTTCGCACGCACCATCAGCTGACGCATTGCCTCGTTCCGCTCCTCCGCATGCACCAGCTCCTCTGCCACTCTTCTATATCATCTTCCTTCTTTTCTAACGATCCCCCACCTGCCCTCCCCCTTTGCCCTTTCCAGCTATCCTCGCACCAAGTCGACAGCCTACCCTGCCTCTTTTGACTATAAATACACTCTTTTGCAGAGGACGTCCTTTGGATCGCAGGTGTTCTTTGAGAATTCTTCACAGACATCCTTTGCATCGCAACTTCTGAGGCGCCTTAAAAATAGCGTCCTTGCATTCCAACTTCACCTTCTCTTTCCTCTTCGCCATTGTCCCCAATCCCCCCTCCCCGCTACGTTCCCAGCTACCCTCGCACCGAATCCACTCCCTACGCCTCCTCCTTTGACTATAATGATGCCGTTTCAACACCGTCACGCCATCCCATATTAGGGGGGTTACGTGCACTCTCATACCAATTAACCCCTTTGCCCCTCATCCTCTGTCCCCTTTCTTTTCCCAAATGCCCACCTGTCCCTCTCCCCTCCCCTTTTCAGCTACCCTCGCACGGAGTCAACAGCCTACCCCTCCTCCTTTGACTATAAAGAAGCTCTTTCGATTCAGTCACGGCATCCCATATGGGGGGAGTACGTGCAATCACTCCTGCAGCTCGGGCCCTCGCTGCCCAGGGCAGGAAAAGACGAGGGAGACCACCCACCCATCACCCCCATGCGCGCTGCGGACGAGGGGGAGCTGGGCGGCGGGGATGCGTGGCGGCTGTATGACCTTGTAACGAGGCACTTTATAGGGAGCTTCAGCCCTGACTGCCGGATTGCAAGGTGAGCGTTGGGTGTCAAGAGAAAAGGGGACATCAAGTGTAGGGATGCGTGGGGCGCTCTTGTATGACCTTGTAATGAGGCGCTTCGTAGGGAGCGTCAGCCTGGATTGCTGGATCGCAATGTGAGTATGTTTGAGATCAAGTCGCGGGATTGTGCGGGGATTCTTGGAGCTTGGGATAGGAATTACTTTTCTCTTCCTTTCGTTTTTTTTTTTTTCCCCCCCTCTTCGCTCGTTCGACTTCTCGGTTTCCCTCTTGTTCTCCCTCCCTCCGCTCTTTTCATCCTTCTCTCCTCTCTTTTCTCTTCCCTCCTTCCCTCTTCCTCCATCTTTTGCCCTCCCCTCTTCGTCACTTACCCTTCCTCCTGCCCCCTCCTCCTCCCCACCAGGACACGTGTCACCTTCTCAGTGGCTGGGGAGCACTTCTCAGCATCGGGACGAAAGCTGCTATCCGCGGGATTCACTGCAGTCATGCCGTGGCTGGCGGTGGGGGACGAGGGCCTTCCAGCCTTCGTGCAGGGGGAGAGTGTTGCCCTCAGCGCAGTGGAGCTGTATGAGGTGAGAGCAGAGGGCACGTGTTGTGAAAGCTGCTATCCGCGGGGTTCACTGCGGTCATGCCATGGCTGGCGGTGGGGGATGAGAGCCTTCCAGCCTTCAATGCAGGGGGAGAGTGTGTCGCTCAGCGCAGTGGAGCTGTATGAGCTGAGGCCCCTCCCCTGTGCTGCTGCCCTGCACTGCTAACATTCATGCCGTGGCTGGCGGTGGGAGAAGAGGCCCTCCCGACATTCATGCAGGGGGAGGGCGTTGCCCCTCGGTGCTGGGGAGCTCTATGAGGTGAGGTGCGGTGAGGAGAGGTGGAGGTGTTACCAAGCTATCCCCGCGGTTGCTGCCCTTCACGGCAGTCCTGCCGTGGCTGGCTGTGGGAGACGAGGGGCGCCCTTCCTTCGGTGGGGCTGATGGAACGACACGGCACTAGGACGGAACCCTCTAACTTTTTCACCTTCCCCACCGCTCTGAACCCCCTGGTACCCCCATCAAACACCAATCCACACAGGGCCGCAAGTCCCCTCAAGACTACCTGACCTGCCAGAGAGCCCTCTGATTGTCCTGTGACTTGCCCCATCTAGCTCACTTGGCGCCACCGCTTTTAATCGCTCTGTGTGCTCCTGTACCACCCACTGACCACCTTCAGCGCTGCACGTCCCCTCAAGACTACCTGACCTTCCAGAGAGCGCGCTGATTGGGCTGATGGAGCGACATGGCACTATGACCGACGTGTTTGGCCTTCTCACCTTCCCCACCGCTCTGAACCCCTTCTTACTCCCTATAAACAGGGCCGCACGTCCCCACCGGACTACCTGACTGAAAGTGAGCTGATCGGGCTGATGGAGTGACAGACAGGGCATTGGCACAGACTCGTTCTGCCTCTTCACCTTCTCCACCCCACCACTCTGAACCCCTTCTTATTCCTTATGAACAGGGCCGCACCTCACCTCCTGACTACCTAACCGAGAGTGAGCTGATCGGGCTGATGGAGCGACATGGCATCGGCACGGATGCGTGCCTTGTCTCTTCTAGCACCCACCACTTGCAACCGCTCTGTACCACCTCTCCACCTTCAGGGCCGCACCTCTCCTCCGGACTACCTGACTGAGAGCGAGCTGATTGGGCTGATGGAGCGACACGGCATCTAGATTGATGCATCCCTGGGTATCTTCTAGCACCACCACTTGTAACCGCTCTGTACCACCCACCCAACACCCTCAGGGCCGCACCTCCCCACCTGACTACCTGACTGAGAGCGAGCTGATTGGGCTGATGGAGCGACACGGCATTGGCACAGATGCGTCCATCCCCGTTCACATCAACAACATCTGCGAACGGAACTATGCCCAGGTAGGGAGGGGTTGTGTGGGTTCCGGATGTGTTCTGATGCGAGTCAACACACACATGGCATCGGCACTGATGCATCCATCCCGGTCACATCAACAACATCTGTGAACGGAACTATGCTCAGGTAGGTGTGAGGTGCGTGCGTACGACGTGGCAGGTGTGGGGGAAGAGCGCAGTATCATCGGCACTGATGCATCCATCCCCGTTCACATCAACCACATCTGTGAACGTAACTATGCTCAGGTAGGGAGGGGTTTGGGGGAGTGAAGTGAGGCGGGAAGTGGTATCATCGGCACAGACGCGTCCATCCCTGTACACATCAACAACATCTGCTCAGGTAGGAGATTGGAGACGTGGGGAGGGCGTGGGGGACACTATGGTATGGTGTGTGTCTTCAATCAAATCAACACACCGGCACAGACGCATCCACCCCCGCGCACATCAACAACATCTGCGAGAGAAATTATGCCCAGGTAGGGAGGGTTTTGAGACATCTCAAAACTAGGTAGGGATGGATTGTGTGGAGTTCCGGATGTGTTCTGAGGCGAGTCAACACATACATGCATTGGCACTGATGCAGTGAGGTGCAAGTGGAGAAGATGTGGTTGGGGGTGGCGCTCGTGCAGCTGTTGGGGTCCAAGAAGTGCGACGAGGACCAGATTGATCGCCTCACCGCCAAGGTCTGTCGTGGAAGCACCTCTCCCTGCCCCCAAGGTGGGAATGAGATGTGGAAGCAGGGAGAGGTGCTTCCACGACAGACTCTGGTGGTGAGGCATGCAATCTGGTCCTGGTGGCGCTTCTTAGACCCCAGCAGCTGCACGAGCGCCACCCCCAACCACACCTACTCCACTTGAGCCTGCCGGCAATCGGATTGTGCCCACCACCCCTTCATCCCAAATCCCACCCACTCCATTCTCTCCACTCTCCCTCCTTTCCATCAGGTAACGTAGTTTTGAGACGTCTCAAAACTAGATTTCTCTCCACTCTCCCTCCTTTCCATCAGGTAACGTAGTTTTGAGACGTCTCAAAACTAGATTTCTCTCCACTCTCCCTCCTTTCCATCAGGTAACGCCTGGCCGTAAGATTGTGCCCACCACCCTTGGCACCATGCTCAAGCGCGACACGTACCACCACCACCATTCTCTCTACCCACTCTCTTTTCCCCTCTATCACCTATCTCCACCAGGTGGCACCGGGTCGTAAGAGTGTACACACCACCCTCGGCACCACCATCTTGTGCGCTGGTTCCTATCCGTAAGCCTTCTCTTTCTCTCACTTTCCCTCTTCCTCTCCCTCCGTCAGGTGGCACCGGGTCGTGAGATTGTGCCCACTACCCTCGGCACCACGCTTGTGTGCGAGTACCAGTACCGCTCAATGCTCCTTCCTTCCTACCCGCTCACGTCTTTTTTTCTCTCTCCCCTTCTCCCTTCCCCCAATATCTCTTTTACCAGGTAGCACCAGGTCGTAAGATCATACCAACCACCCTCGGCACCACGCTCGTGCGCGGGTACCAGCAGATCGATCCGGACCTTTGCTTGCCAGACATCCGACGGTTCATAGAGCAGCAGATCACGCTGATCGCGCAGGGCAAGGCGGACCACGGCAGGGTGGTGACGCTCGTGCTGCAGCAGTTCTTCGAGAAGTTCAAATACTTTGTCAGCCAGGTGGGTGGGGCCTGGGTGCAATTTGAATGAATGGCTAATGGCACGTGTGACATTACAATATGCAAGGCGGACCACGGCAGGGTGGTGACACTCGTGCTGCTGCGGTTCTTTGAAAGTTTCAAGTACTTTGTCAGCCAGGTGGGTGCTGTGGTTGTTCAGCTGGTTAGTTTGTGAATGAACCATGCGCCTATTCAATCCTGGATGCAAGGCGGATCACGGCAGGGTGTTCTTTAAAAGTTTCAAGAACTTCGTCAGCCAGGTGGGTGTGAATGATGGTTTTTTGGTTGAGCATCCTGTGAATGAATCATGGGACGTGTGGCAGGCAGAGTGGTGAACCTGGGTCTGCAACTACTCCTTCACAAGTTCAAATACTTCGTCAGCAGCTGCGTGTTCATGTATGGTTTGGCATTGGGGTATTGGCTGAATGACTGAATGCCGGGACACATGCAAGGCGGACCACAGCAGGGTGGTGACTCTCGTGCTGCAGCAGTTCTCAGAAAAGTTCAAGTACTTTGTCAGCCAGGTGAGTGCTCAGTCAGTCAGTCAGTCAGGTGGGTGTTGTATCACCCAGGGGCGAGGTGAGTAGGGTGCATGTGGACTGCAGCAGGGTGGTGACTCTCGTGCTGCAGCAGTTCTCAGAAAAGTTCAAGTACTTTGTCAGCCAGGTGAGTGCTCAGTCAGTCAGTCAGTCAGTCAGGTGGGTGTTGTATCACCCAGGGGCGAGGTGAGTAGGGTGCATGTGGACTGCAGCAAGGTGGTGACTCTCGTGCTGCAGCAGTTCTCAGAAAAGTTCAAGTACTTTGTCAGAAAGGTGGTTACTCTGAGGCACGCTTCTCCCTGCTAGCTGCCTCTGGCAAGCCCACGGGTCGATGCAGCACGTGTCCTTGTTACTTACTTCAAAAACACCTTAATCGCCCCTTAGCTGTTTCCTTTCTTCCCTCCTCCAACAAGACTGGCCGCATGGATTCCCTCTTTGAAGCACAGTTCTCCCCTCTGGTTGCCTCTGGCAAGTCCATGGTTTGGTCCGTGGTTTGGTCCCTGCTTTGGTCCGTGGTTTGGTCCGTGGTTTGGTCCGTGGTTTGGTCCGTGGTTTGGTCCGTGGTTTGGTCCGTGGTTTGGTCCGTGGTTGGTCCGTGGTTTGGTCCGTGGTTTGGTCCGTGGTTTGGTCCGTGGTTTGGTCCAGTGGTTTGGTCCGTGGTTTGTGTCGTGGTTTGGTCTGTCCGTGGTTTGGTCCGTGGTTTGGTCCGTGGTTTGGTCCGTGGTTTGGTCCGTGGTTTGGTCCGTGGTTTGGTCCGTGGTTTGGGTCCTGGTTTGGTCCGTGGTTTGGTCCGTGGTTTGGTCCGTGGTTTGGTCCGTGGTTTGGTCCGTGGTTTGGTCCGTGGTTTGGTCCGTGGTTTGGTCCGTGGTTTGGTCCGTGGTTTGGTCCGTGGTTTGGTCCGTGGTTTGGTCCGTGGTTTGGTCCGTGGTTTGGTCCGTGGTTTGGTCCGTGGTTTGGTCCGTGGTTTTGGTCCGTGGTTTGGTCCGTGGTTTGGTCCGTGGTTTGGTCCGTGGTTTGGTCCGTGGTTTGGTCCGTTGGTTTGGTCCGTGGTTTGGTCCGTGGTTTGGTCCGTGGTTTGGTCCGTGGTTTGGTCCGTGGTTTGGTCCGTGGTTTGGTCCGTGGTTTGGTCCGTGGTTTGGTCCGTGGTTTGGTCCGTGGTTTGGTCCGTGGTTTGGTCCGTGGTTTGGTCCGTGGTTTGGTCCGTGGTTTGGTCCGTGGTTTGGTCCGTGGTTTGGTCCGTGGTTTGGTCCGTGGTTTGGTCCGTGGTTTGGTCCGTGGTTTGGTCCGTGGTTTGGTCCGGGTTGGTCGTGGTTGGTCCGTGGTTTGGTCCGTGGTTTGGTCCGTGGTTTGGTCCGTGGTTTGGTCCGTGGTTTGGTCCGTGGTTTGGTCCGTGGTTTGGTCCGTGGTTTGGTCCGTGGTTTGGTCCGTGGTTTGGTCCGTGGTTTGGTCCGTGGTTTGGTCCGTGGTTTGGTCCGTGGTTGGTCCGTGGTTTGGTCCGTGGTTTGGTCCGTGGTTTGGTCCGTGGTTTGGTCCGTGGTTTGGTCCGTGGTTTGGTCCGTGGTTTGGTCCGTGGTTTGGTCCGTGGTTTGGTCCGTGGTTTGGTCCGTGGTTTGGTCCGTGGTTTGGTCCGTGGTTTGGTCCGTGGTTTGGTCCGTGGTTTGGTCCGTGGTTTGGTCCGTGGTTTGGTCCGTGGTTTGGTCCGTGGTTTGGTCCGTGGTTTGGTCCGTGGTTTGGTCCGTGGTTTGGTCCGTGGTTTGGTCCGTGGTTTGGTCCGTGGTTTGGTCCGTGGTTTGGTCCGTGGTTTGGTCCGTGGTTTGGTCCGTGGTTTGGTCCGTGGTTTGGTCCGTGGTTTGGTCCGTGGTTTGGTCCGTGGTTTGGTCCGTGGTTTGGTCCGTGGTTTGGTCCGTGGTTTGGTCCGTGGTTTGGTCCGTGGTTTGGTCCGTGGTTTGGTCCGTGGTTTGGTCCGTGGTTTGGTCCGTGGTTTGGTCCGTGGTTTGGTCCGTGGTTTGGTCCGTGGTTTGGTCCGTGGTTTGGTCCGTGGTTTGGTCCGTGGTTTGGTCCGTGGTTTGGTCCGTGGTTTGGTCCGTGGTTTGGTCCGTGGTTTGGTCCGTGGTTTGGTCCGTGGTTTGGTCCGTGGTTTGGTCCGTGGTTTGGTCCGTGGTTTGGTCCGTGGTTTGGTCCGTGGTTTGGTCCGTGGTTTGGTCCGTGGTTTGGTCCGTGGTTTGGTCCGTGGTTTGGTCCGTGGTTTGGTCCGTGGTTTGGTCCGTGGTTTGGTCCGTGGTTTGGTCCGTGGTTTGGTCCGTGGTTTGGTCCGTGGTTTGGTCCGTGGTTTGGTCCGTGGTTTGGTCCGTGGTTTGGTCCGTGGTTTGGTCCGTGGTTTGGTCCGTGGTTTGGTCCGTGGTTTGGTCCGTGGTTTGGTCCGTGGTTTGGTCCGTGGTTTGGTCCGTGGTTTGGTCCGTGGTTTGGTCCGTGGTTTGGTCCGTGGTTTGGTCCATGGTTTGGTCCATGGTTTGGTCCATGGTTTGGTCCATGGTTTGGTCCATGGTTTGGTCCATGGTTTGGTCCATGGTTTGGTCCATGGTTTGGTCCATGGTTTGGTCCATGGTTTGGTCCATGGTTTGGTCCATGGTTTGGTCCATGGTTTGGTCCATGGTTTGGTCCATGGTTTGGTCCGGTGCAGCAAGTGTTGAATGAGTCCACACCACACAACCCAACATTATGATTCTTTTCCAATGCCACCTCTCCGCCTACACTATTCCAGATCGCTCGCATGGACTCACTCATTGAGGCGCACTTCTCCCCGCTTGCTGCCTCTGGCAAGCCCATGGGTCGCTGCGGCAAGTACCCTTGGAGTCCACTCCAAAATCACCTCAATTCCACTTTACCTGCTCCTTCTATTCCCTCTCTCTTCCAGATCGCTCGCATCGACTCCCTCTTTGAAGCCCACTTCTCCCCGCTCGCTGCCTCAGGGAAGCCCATGGGTCGCTGCGGCAAGTGCCCTGTGGAGCCCACTCCTCCAAACTCACCACAATCCCCTCTGTGCTGCCCCCATTCTTCCCTCTCTCTCCCAGATCGCTTGCATGGATTCCCTCTTTGAGGCGCACTTCTCCCCTCTCGCTGCCTCGGGCAAGCCCATGGGTCGCTGCGGCAAGTGCGGGAGGTTCATGCGCTTTGTGCCGCTGAAACCCACACGGCTGTTCTGCCCCACCTGTGAAGACATTTTCAACCTGCCTCAGAACGGTGCTATCAAGGTGAGGGGAGTGGCAGGCACAGAGGAGTGGCAGAGGTATAAGGTAGCACTATTTGACAGTCACCTCAAACTTGTCAAGTCTTGGCACGCCTCAAAACTGCTTCACTCATTGAACCATCAACTCCCTACTTTTTTCCTCGCAGCTTTACAAGGAACTCACCTGCCCGCTCGACAACTATGAACTGGTCCTTTACTCTCTGCCCGGGCCCGAGGGGAAAACTTTTCCTCTCTGCCCGTACTGCTACAACCATCCTCCGTTTGAGGACCTGGGAAAGCCAATCACCCCTGCCACCAGCACCACTGCCTCCTCCTCCAAACCTGCTGCCGAGCCTGCTGCTGGATCTACATCCCAAGCCTCCTCCAGGACAGGCTCGTCGGTCTTCACTGGTATGGCGTGCACGAGCTGCCGCCACGTGTCGTGCCGCCATTCGCTGGTGAGCATGGGCGTGTGTCCCTGCCCCGAGTGCGAAGGCACTCTAGTTCTAGACCCTGTAAGTGCTCCTAAGTGGCGTTTAGATTGCAACCGCTGCAGCTGCGTTGTTTTCATTAAAGCCAATGTACACCGCATGGCGGTGGTGCCCATGTTTGCGTTCGGTTCTTCTGGCTCTTTGCTAAAAGCTCAGCACCAGCAGGGGAACCAGGGGAAGCAGGGGCAGCAAAGGCAGGAGGGCGAGAAGGAGGGTGGTTGGTGCTCTGAGCGTGTCCTGCCCGAATAATTGAAGTGGATTTTCACAAGGATGCCTCGCCATTGCCAGGCGGTGCAACAGTGCATCGCGGGTGTGTGTTGTGCGATTAATTGTTACTGTCATTATTGGAGATGAAGCATGGGCGGGTGTTTTACGGAAGGAGGGGGAGAGGGCGTGGGAGGGGAAGAGGAAGAGGTGGGAGAGGAAGAGGGCGCGGAAGGGGAAGAGGCAAAGACGAGGATGTCCGGCTTAGTTTTAGGGATTTCTAGGAGCTCTCTGTTTCACAAAAAATAATAGTTTTGTGTTTTGCAGAAACCATATAGCATAGCACATTCCACCAAGAATATTCTAGAATGTAATTTGTATAGAATTGTTGAGTAAGAAATAGAATTGTACAACATATATGGATATAATCAACCCTACAATTTCGCAACTCCTACAAATTCAGCTTGTTATAATCACCTTCAATCGTGGCAGTCGGACCAAGCCCTCTGGCAGAGCCAGGATTGGGCACCGCCGCAGCACAAGCCGTTCGAGTGTCGACAACTGCCCGAGCGAGTCGGGCAGGCGGCGGAGAGATATCAACCAATCCAACTCTAGCTCGCGCAACTGAGGCAGCTGCCCCATATTCGCGGGCAGCTCAACCAGGCGAAATAGATCTCGCAATGTCAGGCGGCGAAGGGCGGGAAGGTTAGCCAACGAAAGTGGTAAGCAGCAGAGGGTTGTGCTACCATCCAGCTCTAGCTCTCTAAGACTGGGCAAAGCCTGGGCAATGTTAGGAGGGAGCGAGGCGAGATTCAGGCAACGTGCGATTGTCAGATGCGTAAGCGATTGTAGCTGAAAGGGCTGAGGCAGGCTGAACGCGCTAGTTCCGTGCAGAAAGCGGAGCTGCTCCAAACGAGTACAACCCTTAGCGAGCGCGGCAAATCCCGTCTCGCTGACGTCCCCGTGCGACATCCAGTGAATCGTCAAGCGAGTCAGGCGACGACAGTGCGACGCGAGGCTCGCGAGAAAAGCGTCGTCCACTTGTCGCAGGCTCCGCGCTTCCAGATGCAGCGCCGTGAGCGACGGATAGACGGAAACGGAGATCTGAACGGGTAGAGTCCGTGAGTCGATTCGCCGGCCGTCGCGAATGCGAATAGCTGAGCGCGATTGGCGCGCGAGGCGGTACCAGGAGGAGCAGACGAGCGCGTGGCCAAACGGATGCCTGAGCGCCTCGTAGCTTAAAGAAAAGGAGGAACGATCACGTGTAGTTTCTTCGGAATTACTGGAGGATGAACGCACCACTGTAGATTGCGTAGATTGCGTTACGACGGGGAGGAGTGGGGAGGTAAGGTTGCGAAAGAGAGCTGGGTGAGAGGGGAGATGAGAAGGGTCGGCCTGGGAGAGGGAGGAGGAAGAAGCGGAGGAGAGGGACGGGGAAGCGAGGGAGGTGTCGTTCTGCTGTTCATCCGCCTCGTGAGTCTCGAGCAGCTCGAAGATTCGAAGGAGCAGCTCGGGAGAAAGAGCGTGAATCGGGCAGAGCAAGCGGGTCGCGGGAATATCTAGGTTCTGTGGAGCCAGAGAGGTGGTTACAGGGTGTAATGGTTGTAGCTTCTGTGGATTTGAGATCTCGACGGGGGAGGCTCCGTCTGGCAAAGCGAAGTGGACGCAAGCCGTCGGGTCCTTTACCATCGCCATCGCGTGCTTGCTGAAACACGGGAAGAGTGAGTCGACTGTGGCTGGCTGAAAGTCGACGAGCTTCACACTCACGACGAGCTCACGGTTAAAAGAAAGAACCTCTAACTCGCTCCGTCCGCCAATCTGCCTGCTCTGCGCGACACTCTTGCCTGCTCATGAAAAAAACCGCAGCTGCTTGAAACCATCAATCGCCTGTCACGCTCTCCGCAAAGCATTCCATTGGATGCTCCCAACCAAGCGAAGGATTCCATTCCGAACGGTAAATGGTAAGGAGTCCACCAGAAGAGAGATGAGACGAGACAGGGCCCCTTCCGTTTGTTCCCTTTCCGCGCTTTCGGCCATGAGGGTTCGCGGTGTTCGTGTCGGACACGAGACCTTCGCGGGGCGGTGTCGCGCGGATGGGTTGAGTTCGAGTCATCGGTGGCGGAACAACTCGGTCGCAATTCATTCCGGAAAATTTCCGCGAGCAAATCTAGATGTTTGCGAGGGAGTCCTAGCATGGCCACCACTACCGAATTTCTACGGCGTGAGGATGGGTTGATAGCATTTTGTCGCCAAGCGGCTCGAAGGGCCGCGGAGTTTGATTTGTGCCCGCCACGCGCGGCTGTCATTCGGGGAAAACACTCGCCGCGCAGGTTGGCCCAGCTTCGCGAGTCGCGACACACTCTACGCTCTGTTAACCACCTTGACAATAGACTAAACGCCGCTCTAGAACGACGAACCAAGAGCCGTCGGATCTCCGTTGGGAACTCCTTGGTCAACAAGAGCTAGACCCATCGCCACTGTTGATACTGCCTTGAAGCTCTGCTAAGATGATGAAAGCAGTTCTGAATAAGATGGAGGGAGGGAGGGAGGGAGCCAGCAGATGGCTTGCGTGGCGAGCGCGTGGCAGGCTGACGCCTGGCGGGGTGCATGCGACCCGTTGGATTAGATGGGCTGGCAAGGAGATTTCGCAGAACTCAATTGGAGTGTCTTCGTCACATGGTCAAACTGCATCTTCTGCCAGACGTTTCATGAACCCATTATGCCCATGAATTTGATAACATTTGTGAAAGCCTCCCGCTGCACATTCTAAACCACACCATGTTGCTCCGCTGCAGTAGATGCATCACTATTTCAAATATTTCCTTTTAGATGGCTTTTCGTGGTTTTTTCCCTCCATTTGTGCTCTCTCATTTTCTGGTACCATCTTTCCGCCGCACTCTAATTCTCCCCTGCCCTTTCTCTCTCTTTAGTGCATATGTCTATACACATTTGTATACAGGTACCGTGTAAGTAAGAACATCTTTTACAAAGGTGTGCTACTGTATCGAGTCTTACATGCCCTCAGTGTTGCTGTGGTTCTGATCTTTCTCTCACCTGACTTCTCGCTTGAGAATCAAACGCGGGATGACAGATGATTCAGATGTTTTTCAAAACGGTTTATTCGGTATTCCATGGTAATCAAGCACTTATACATAACAATGCCTGCTGATTCTGATCTGAGATGTAGTACTCCATTCTCCCTGGTCCAACCCAACTTCTCCACTCAGGTTTCTGAGATTCATCGCTGGAACACCATTTTTGGAAGTTGCCAGATCTCACTGGGAGAACGCTGATCTGTCCAGCGTTACCTGCTAGCTTTCTTGGCAGGACCGAATTCCTTGCGCACCCGTCTTACGATTGAAGCTCGTTCTGCAAATCCCGTGGTCTCATTGGCTTCTTCCTTTAATCTATCAGGACTTTGCTGACAAGGAGACAACGTCGCCATGGTAAGCTCGATTTCAAATGTCGATACCGCGGTTAGGGATCCTCTAGAGCCTCAGAGGCTGTTCGTTCGGGAACATGCCTGCTTGCAAAATAAGGTTTTTTAGATTAGTATGTGCAGCAATATCACCCTGTCGGAGTTTCAGCTTGTTCGTTAAGCTTGGGAATCACAGCACAGCAAGTAGGTCGATAGCCTGTCGTGGAGGATCTGCTCTCGAAGTCGAGTTATTATATATTTTGAGTTGGTTGCGAGCATCAGCGGACCAGTTAATCCATCGGAACCCTTCTCATCGCGTGGAGGATCTGCTCTCGAAGCCATTGAAAACGACATAAACGCCGTTCGATTCATCTGATGCCAGCTTGATGCTAGCCTGGAAACTGTTAGTAGGATAGCTTATTCCTCCGTTCTCACCTGATCGCCTACACGTGCTTGTCGCACGTGCAGGATGGTTTCCGTTACCTGTCGCATACACGTCCTGAAAGAATCCGTTTGTAATTCGCTTGCTGCCATGGCATAAGCATTGGAGTAGTTATGTCGGAATGCCGTAGAAGGAGCGTTCGCGCATCAGGAATGCCGGAGCGATGACGCATTTGGTGTGTTAAGTCGTCGTCGCAGTTGGCCTACGAAATTCGTAACACTTCGTACTGCTGATTAGCTCTTCGTTGCATGGCAATGCGAGATGCGTTTGTGGTATCTATTGCGGTTTTCGTGGGCCAATCAATCCCTTTGCGTACTAACGTACGTTTAACATGCGGACACGACAGTGGCACGTTCACGGCTCGTGCCTTTTGCTGTCTTGTAATCCCGATGCGCTAACCATTTCGGTATCTTGTTTGGTGTTCTTGTTTCCGCGCACTTGTGTTTTTGCAGCCTCTTCGGTTGGAGATCAAGGTGAGGAAAAAGCTGGATTCCTTCTGTTGGTTGATCAGTTTTGCTGTTCATCGAGCTTTAGGCCTGACATTCAGGATATCCAAAGCAAATGCTTGCGTCCCCGTGTCATTCTGGGTATGCACAACCGAACGCGTCCTCGTTCCGCCATACATCTTCTGCCTTGTTTCCTTTCAGCGCAAGCTCGCGCAACGTTCAGATCGAGTCAAGTGTGTAGATCTACACCCGACAGAACCATGGTGAGTCGAAATTGGTCGGCTTTCACCTTCAAATGGAGCTGAAATTTGGTGCCATGCTGCTTGGGAACTTTGGTATCTACGTTGGGCTTCCATGAAATTTATTCAACTATTGGTTTCTTGTGACAGGGTTCTCGCGACGCTATACACGGGAAGTGTGTACATTTGGAACTACACCACACAGGTAAGAGACTTGAATGCAGACTTTGCTCAGTGAGTATCTCCTATCTTTTCCATCTTGACCAACGTTTGCTCCTACACTCTTGTCTTTTGAGTTTGGCACAACTCACCAGTACTTTCTGAGTGGAGAGTAGCCAAAGTGGTTATACCATGAGAGGAATTGTGCCATGCCTAATTTCCCACTTTCGTCTCACAAATGTTCCGCTGTGCGACTTGCAGACTCTGGTCAAGTCGTTTGAAGTCACTGAATTGCCAGGTACGTGACTATGTTTCTTGGTGC